CCAACGTCGTCTCTCTCCCATCGCAAACCCATTCGCTATTGAATTCAACTCTACAGCGATGATATATCAACATTATCCTTTGGCTTGTTAACATCTGGTGAGAAGACGGTTTAAGGAGCGACTCACGAGTGCAATTCGTCACTCTTCACTATCAAATGCTCCTGGGAAGGTCTGAGATAAGGTCCGACGCCAACAGGTGGCGTTTCAATCCTCTAGCAGGGGAGTAGTGTAAAACACTGCAGGGCCGTACGAGAAAAGCCGACGGGTGTGTGCTATAACGCACGATGAATCGAAAGATTCGGACGTTCTACGGTACACATCTGTCGTTTGGACACGGTGCTGGTATCGGCTGCGCTGAGTGCGATAACCACTAAACCCAATTCAGACTACTCTCTCGCCAGTAAAACTTTTTCAGTTTCGAAAGGTCAATTGCCACTGGTTGCGATCACATTTTTAAGACGTTCCTCTTTCATATTCATAAGTTTTTGCTGGCTTCTAATCACATATATTATATTTCTTCAGCTGTTCACAATGAATACAAAATAAATGTTTTTTGTTAACAATTTAATCGATCAAATGAATTTGCAGTTACAGGCCAAAACAAGCTTCAGACTCCCCGAAACTTCATTGGAAGCTGATGCTAAGCCAAATTCGGAGACGAACCCTTCAAAACTAACCATCAGTTTATCGGTACTAATATCCGGAGGATCGTACAATCGTTCCAATGCTTCCAGAAATATGAAGAACGCTATTACAATCAAGAAGAGCGCATTGATAAAGCCTAAAAATTCACCAACTTCAAATTCGCAACAAACCGAAACGAGTAAATAAGCAACAAAATTTCCTATTCAAAATCAAAAGTGGATTCTTTCCGAAACAGAAAATGAAATCAAGCGCAAACAAAATTCGCCGCATCAAAGACGAATCGAATCGAATACCTGAGAGCACTTCCACTCTGCCGTAACCGTATGAATAATTTCGACTTGCAGGCCATCTAGACATCACCGCTGCAACCAAACCCATAACCTGAACAAAACGTTGAAAACTTGAATAGTTTTTGAACTTTACTTAATCCAGATGCGTTCAGATCCCTCAAAACAATCTACCTAAACGCAAACACAACCTCATACTTCCAATTAATATTATACCAATTAAAATCACCAACAATAAACTAATAATTTGAACGTTAAATATCATCACAATCATATTCCCGTCAATATTCCCATCTGATCTTATTAAAATCTGAAACTCACCAGCGCCGAGCAATCGAACAACATATGAAAACCATCCGAAATCAGTCCAAGACTGTTTGTCCAAAAGCCATACAAAAATTCCACACCACAAAATGACTGAAACATAATGATGTACTGTAAGTTTCCACATTGACGTCAATATATCAAAGCTGACCGATCATTTTATCTCANCATCTAATTTCCTTTCAGCACAATCGACAATCCATAATTTCTTGAATGTATTTTTTTAAAATAATTCATATTCTGAATGAACTGCAAAATGAATGAATAAATAAATACAGCAGTTCTAACTGTTTTTTAACAACTACCGAATGGATGACTCCAAAGAACAACGCAACTGATACTTAATGACAACAAACGCGTACGTTATCATTACCCACACATGT